CGCCCCTCTCCCCCTACCTTTCCAACTCACTCTTTGCGCAAGCGCAACTCAGCTCTCACCGCCCTCCTGCTCGCATGGCCTTTTGGGAGATGTAGTTTCGGAGGGTGTGCTAGTGCCTACGCTGCTTGCGGCGCGAGCCCATCCGAAATGCACAATTGCAGGGGGATAAGAGAAGACCAGAACCCCAGGATCTCCCCTCCTAACCCTTGTGCACACATTCTTTGTGACACCAGTCCACTCTCAAGCTCACTGCACACGCACCACAGCTCAAACCTCGCTCTGCCCAAGACGTCCCTCTAAGCCACGCGCCAGCCAGCTGGCTGGCGCCCCTTCCAGGGCTGGCGGCCACGAAGCAACTCTGCTCCCCTGTAGATCGAATAGGGTAGGTGCAGGGAGGTGGGCGCAGCGCGAATCGGAAGGGCAAGGGGAGGGAGTCTGTAGGATGTGCTGAAGGACACAGGGGTTGGAGTGGGGGAGGGCCCCAGCTCCCGCGTCGTTCCTCCTCTGTGGGAAACCCACGCTGCCCTGATGCAGAACAGAGGGTTGGCGTGCTGCTGTCTGGGTTTGGTAGGGCCTAGCTTAGCGGACCAAGATCACCTGTCAGGATGACAGAAGGCTATCAGAGCCAGCTCCGGAACTAAGGTGCCCAGAGGTTGCTGGTGTTTGCAGCGTCTCTGCTGCTCTGTCTCTCTTCTCCTGAGAACTGCGTTCCGATCGATACCCTGCACTGCCTCTTCCCAAACCGTGGCTGAACCCTGATTCCATCCATCATTTTGGCTTCTTTTTCTAATGAATATTTTCTGTGCTGGAAGGGCTGCTACTGAAGCCTTGGCATAGGAAGATTTCTCATCAGATCTGTCATTTTTCCTTCGTAAGGCCTGGAAAGTACCTTAACCATCCACCTCTTTCTTTGTAGCTGATAACATTTCTTCCCACCTTTCACACAAGAGACAAAAGTCTGCCTCTTTCTTTCTCCTCAGCCCCTCACACTTCACCCCATATTGTATCCCGTTAGCTAAGAGGAAACCAAGTTTGGGAGCAAAGAAGTCATGGTCTATATTTTGGAGACCTCAGATTTTCTTCTTTTCATCCAGGAAAGGTTTAAATACTTAAAGGATAATATCTGAGGGCAAGGAATCTTAACCTGAGACTCACAGATGATCCCTAAGGGTCCTGGAACCTGGTGAAATTGAATGTAAAATTGTGTCCAAGTGCATTTTTCTAAGGAATGTAAATGTAGAATGTGACTGTCTTTCTGAAGGCGGTGGAAGTGCAAGTTTGTTCAGCAAGAACCCGATAGTAAAGAGTGGAGCATATGGCCCTCAACTGACAGGAAGCTTGTTTGGGTCACAGATGGTAGGAGAGCAAATGGAAACAGCAATGTGGAAGCCACTATCCTTTGCCTTTTGAATTTGTTCCAAATTTGCTAAAGAGTCTCAGTTACTTTGGATTAATTGGGTGCCACCAAAAGAGGTGATATCACCAGGCTGGGGCCTGCTAGAAACAGCTGCTAAGCCAGCAGACTCTTAGTTGGGGTGCAGAGAGGAGAGGAGTGGAATGATGTCTTGGTAGAAATGTTGATATTTATCCAAGAACTTAAAGCAAGGGAGAGGAAGCCAGGGGGGAAATCCCCATAAGGGTTCCAGTCTTGGCTCCATGGCAAATGCTTGCAGCACTGTTTATTCAAATGTGTAATAACAAGCACCAGAAAACAACATGCAACATTCTCCCCCCACCCCTGATCTGCAATTTCAAAAGTAGGAGACTTGTGACCACGATGCTGAAGGGAACTCATGTGGAGGAAAGATCCTAGGTGGGCACCTGGCAGGGTCAGAATCTATCAGGGCAAAGGGCAAGTGCCCTGCCTGTTGGCCTCCTGCAGCCGCTGAAGAAATGAGACACCTTCTCCTACTTCAGGCCCCACTATGCAAAGCAGTGATACCAGCCCTGGTTGGAGGGGACATGAGCCCTATGAGGACAGCCCTGCCCTTGGCACTTTGCCCAGACCAGCCCTCTGGAGGTAATGAGGCAAACTGGTCTTTCTTCCTAGGGTGGCCATGTAGAGAGGCTATGGCCTAAATCAAGGTTTTTAGCTAAGAATCATCCAGCCTCCTGAGGAGGAAGGACCTCTGTCCCAAAGAATTCTGGGCTGGGAGTTCTTGGCAGGAGTGAATTCCCTCCCCGCTTTTCCTAGCTGAAGGGCCAGCTGCTAACTTCGGCCCCCAAATGAGAACACTTTATCCATCACATTTCAAATAAATTATAAATACAGACACAGAATCCAAACACAGTTCTGGTAGAAGCTGCTCACAGACCCCCACAGGGGCTGGCTTGAAGAGAAATGAAAATCACCCCTTTGTTCTCTGTGTCTCTGGAGCTGTAGACAAAACTGTCCCACCTTGTTCTTGAGTAACCATGGGGACAGCTCAGGACCGAGAGAGAGTTTCAGACTTAGGAACATTCTCACCCCCATCTCCTTTCTTCCCTCCTCAAATTATTTCCCAAAAATCTAAAAAAAAAAACAAAACAAAACCCAAAAAACTAATTTTTTTTACTGAAGAACTCTGGAGAATTTGGTGATGTAAATCTCACACTCCCCCTGAAAGTGGGGGAAATTCTGACCCAAAGAGGACAGGACTGGCCCTAAGTCAAAGGTCCTAAACCCCAAGGATGCCAGTAATGCACATGTTACTATAGACAGCACTGAGGGGCGTGCGGAGGTTTGAGGGGGTTGACTCAGTCCTCAGGAGAGGTTGGCACAGGACACATTCACCTGTGGGATGCTAAGTGGGCCAAAGTGGTTAGATTCTTCCCTCTTCGTCCTTCCCTGAGCAGCCCTAAGGCCAGGGCAGATTGAGGTGTTAGTATTCTCCGGCCTTGGGGCCCAGAGAGGGACTGAAGGAGGTGTCAGGAAGAGGAAATACACCAAAGACAAATATAGATCTGGGTCCCGAAGTGAAGAAGCACCAATAGCATCGGCCTGCCCTGTACTGCGGAAGAGATAGAGCCTGACAGAAAGGAAGAAGCAGGGAAAGACTGGGAGGGCCAAGGAAAGGGTGCATCCTTTTGTAAAGCTGCGGAGGAGGAGTATGAAATGTGCATTAAAGCTGGGCATGGTGGTGCACATCTGTAATCCCAGCACTTGGGAGGCTGAGGCAGGAGGATCGCTGCAAGTTCGAGGCCAGCCTGGGCTACAAAATGAGTTCAAGGCCAGCGTTAATTGCATAGCGAGACCCTGTCTTAAAAACACAAAAGAAAAGTGAGGACTAGAGAAGGAGCGGAGGTGGAGGGCATAGGTATGAACAGAGTTGGGGAGAAATGGGCTCATCTATCCATGTTCTGGAGCTCTGGGATAACTCAGCCTCACGATGGTCCTTTGGGCCCTTCCAAAGCCCCTATGTGGCCCCACAGGAATAAAAGGAAGGCCTGGACAAACTTCAAGAAGGATCTTGCCTCAGACCCAAGAGGCTGGGGAAGGGAGATGGGCTGAGAGGTGGGGGGAGAGGGAGGGGACTGAAATCGATATGCTGCTGGCCTCTCATCTCCTGTCCCAAGTGTGAGATGAGACCAAACCCAAGAAGGATGGGGAGAAAGGGAAGGAGTCTCTATAGTAAATAGACTTTAGAGTGCTGGTGGATAGTGCCCCAGCCTGGGGGCAGGGGTGGGGTGGGGTGGGGTGGACGGGGTGACGATGATGTGACTCAGGAAATACAAAAAAAAAAAAAAAAAAAAGATTCTGCCAGCAAGTTTCCTGGCTTTCTTCCTTAAAGTTGCAACTCACTTGCAGTTTGTCTGCTCCAGTTGAGTCCAGGCCTCATGTGAACCCTCTAAGGGCCTGTTTCTAGAATAGTGGGCCTCCCTGGATCATATATGGTAGGCTTTGTGGGCAAACAGAGGCCAAAGAAGTAAGGGGGAAGCTCTGGGCTCTGGCTACATGGACCAGGAGGACGCCCCTTGACCCCTGTGTGGACAGGTGATTGAAAAGTAGCTGGGGACCAGTTTCAAGACTCTGATCTGTTGCCCCCAGCTCTCACCTGCAGCAGAGGCTGGTACTTAGAGGCTGGGAGGGTACAAGTGGGACCCTGTGTAAGATGCGTGGGTCATGGCAGCAGTCAAGAATCTCTGAGCTCCTGCCGACAGGGGCTCCAGCAAGAGGAGAGATAGGAAGCCACTAGGACGGCTGCCCAGGTTTCTGACAGTTGATGCCTGCCTACCCGACGTCTTGAAGCCCAAAGCCCAGGATGATGGGGGGAGGGAGCTGGAGGAGGAGGAAGAGGGAGGCCCTGGAAGCCGGAGGTGTTGAAGAGGTGCTGTCCAGTTCGGGAGTAGCCAGATGGGGGCTGCTTACTGCTTCTCCACAGCTCCTTGCTCAGCTGCGCTCTCCTGGCTGGAGCCCTGGCCCTGGTCCTGGCCCTGTCCATGCCACGGGGTCTCTTTGAACACAAACCAACAGTTCCCAGCCCACAGGAAGAAGTTGATAAAGCCGAAGAGCTGCAAAGAACATCAGGGAAGTTTGTGAGAATGGTAAGACAGCAACAGCATAAAAGCAGTAAGGGTGCAGTTTCTACGTTGGAGGAAGAGGTACAGAGGGCTAGGAAGACTAAAGGGCAGAGATCTGGACATAGAGGTAGGGTTCAAAGTCATCGTACATCTAGGGATTCCCTGGTGAAACAGGCTAACTCTATCTACAACTTCTACCCAAGACCGAGTGTGGTCACTAGCTGAATCTACCCCCTGGAGTGGTCATCACACAAAACATACAAGACACCAAGAGGCAGGGCCAGCTGGGCTTCGCACAGCACCTGTGGGGCCTGCTTCCAGCGTTATCTATGGGGCTTGTGCGCCTGGAGCTGTCCAAGGTGCTCCTTCCCTAAAACCAGGGTCTCCACCAGAGTTATATTCAGATATTTATTTAAAATATTTTAAAAATCTCACAGCAGGTAATGGTTGGGGCATGAGATGATGTTTGCAATTAACTTTGAAATGCACTGAAAACTGAATTGATGGATGAAGAGAGCTGTAGAGATATATACTAAAGCAAGTCTAAGGTCCAGGAGGTAAGTTCTGAGTATTCACTGTAAAGTTCTTGCAATTTTGCTGAATACATGAACATGTTTATAATACAATGTTGAGGGAAGCAGAGTGTCAGAATGTTCCAGAAGGCTCCCTGGTGTGCCAGCCTTTAAACATTTCAAGTGTAAGCCCTGTGGAGATCCAAACCATTTTCAGAGTGGGTCTGAGGTGACTGAAATGACAGGGAGCATTGGGGAAGCTCCAAGTCCCAGCTATTTACCAGATAATGTGGACACATTTCAAAGCTCTAACGACTGGAATGGCCAAACACGCGGAGCCACTGCCACTGCCCCAGAGCCCTTTTCCCACGTGGAGGGCTAAACAACAATAAGCCCTTCTCACTCACTCTGGGTCTGCTCCCATCCCTGAGCCCCACCGCAGCCCTAAGCTCTGCCTTCACATGTCCATGTGTGCGCACACATAATGTAAGATAAGTGAGGGCAAGAGGCAGTACAAGGGCATATGTACATAGGGCAGAAAGATGAGGAATGCGGCAGCTCTCAGGTTCCCCTCATTCCAAACGTCTTATCAGGTTGACATTTGGTGCAGGGAGGCACTCGCTAGCTCTGCGTATAAGGGATACCAGCTCGGAGGCCCTCTTCTGTTACGCTTAAGCCTAGGACAGGACTGAACAACTGTGACAGCACTGCCTCCCCTGGACCCCTTTCATTGCTATAGGGCTCACCACAGAGATGTTGGCCAGCCCCATGGAGGGTGTGGCTCCAGGACTGCACACTGCTTCCTCTCCATGGCACACGGACATGGCTGCAGTCAGGCTGGACGGCCGTGTGGCTCCTTTGACATCCATCAGGCCCTTGCCCCAGGCAGCTGCAGCTACCAGCCAGAAGAAGGTGAAGGAGACAGTCACACAGAAGTCCTGGGAGGAGCAGAGGGATGGAAGATACACTAAGAAAGCCCCCACGGTGCCCTTTTCTTTTCCTTTCACCATGATGCACTAGAATCCTGGGGTCCCAAGCCAGCTGCCTCTTCCTGCCTCACCTGACACCTAGAGCCTCAGAGGGTCCAGATGGTCCTGAGGAATCTGTTCACTGGCACAAAGGAATCCTGCCGCTCACACTGCCCTAACTCATGTCCTCAGAACTAAGGTCAGGCAATAAGGTGTCAAAGCATCTGCTGGTCAGTCTCAGCCCCAAACCCGAGGGACCTAAACTTCTGACTCTTTCCTCCCAGCTTTTACTTTGATCACCAGTGCTCAGCTATAAATAGTGGCAGAAGCCAGACTCAGGAGACAAAGGAGTTTTCTATCGTATATCTTCCACCTTGTATGCCTGCAAAAGGGAGAAAGTAAAGAGAATGGTACTAGTAATAGCTAACACTTGTATACCAGATACTTTACATACATTCTCATTTTCTCTCTCAAAAACACTCTAAGGAGATATTACTGCATCCCCATTTTGTGGCCAATGAAACTGAGGTTTAGAGGCTGAGTAACTTGTGTTTTCTTCCAGTACCAGGAATCGAACTCACGGCCTTGCGCTTGCCAGGCAGGTGCTTTGCCACTGAGCTAAATCCCCAGCCCCCATGGCTGAGTAACTTGTTGAAGATCACACAGCTAGTAAGGGACAGTGCTGAGATTTGAACCCAGGCAGCCTAACTCCAGAGCCTGCTTCTTTATGTTGCTTTTGTGCCTTCTGTGAGCAGAAGCAAACAGAGAGGATTGGTCAGGGCAGAGGTTCCACATATAGGTGTCAGGACCCATCACGTTTGTCCTCCCCTCCAGCTCTGACTTCCACCCCAACAGATATCCCTTCACTTCCTCCACCCTGTCCCTCTGGCTCATGCTCACTCACCACCAGTGGGAAGCGCTTGTTCTCCGTGTAGAGTTTGTGAAAGCGCAGGTAGAGGACTAGGGCAGCCATAGTATAGAAGAAGGAAAAGATGCCAAGGGTCACAAAGAACTCAGCAGGGGCGGAAAAGTCCCCCATGAGGTGCATGGTCTTGGAGGTGGAGTCATCGTCACAGAGGGGCATCTCATACTGGACCCGGTGTAACCTGCAGGTGGCAGGGAATGCTTTCTGAGCCCAGGCAAGTCTCTCTCCCTGCCACAGCAAGTCCCCTGAGAGTCAGTCATGTGCTAGTCCTCTCCCTGGGACACTTACAGAGCCAAGATGGGGGTCGTGTAGGGGGGAAAACTTCTGCAGGGAACCTTTCAGTTAAGATAGGATTTTCATCAAGAGTCTATTCAAACAGCACCTCCCCTCAGCTGCCACCCTGTACTTATCCACCTTCCCAGACCGTGGGGACCAGGTATTTCCGAGTATCTCTCGGGTCCTGTAGATCACAAGTATAGTATGTATAGAGCAAATCATCTCTCTTCCTCTGGGAAAGCATACACTCAGGGACCAAGTTAAGTTTGGAAGCACTCATTCTTAGGCCTTATTTAGGATTCTCAATTTAACTATATTGGACAAAATACAGAGACCATTACAGACAAGAAACACTTAACTAATTTGGGTGCTGATACCAAAAAGGTAAACCCTATATTCATTCTTCTTTAAACACAGGCTTCCCTATCCTTGGCTCCCAAGTAGCCAGGAAAGAGTATTCTGTTCTACCTCCTGGTCAAGGTATGCTTCTTTGTAGTCTGGTGGTACCAGGCAAGTATCCCACATCCACTCTTTAGGATCTAAGTACCAACCAACTTTCTTACTTCAGGATACAGAGGATGCTGCAGAGGGTCAGAGAGAGCTACAACTTGCTCATACTCCTGTAAACCTTCATCCCCAATGCCTGAGTTTTTTCGGTTTGAGCTGTTGTGATGTGCCATTGATTGAGCATGGACTTGAACATCATACTAATGATCTGTGTTTGTCTTATGTTTTTCTCTGGCCATTGTGTCTGAAATCACTAAAGGGCAGAAAGGATCCATCTGTTTTCATTCTATTTGAAACTGGAACGGCAGATAAATAGTCTTTAGATTTGTGGAGGAGAGTGAGACCAAGCAGGTCCTGCTAATCTAGTGAGAGAGTGTGCTGGGCCAGACCCAATTCCTGCTCACCTGAAGGGATAGCCGAACAAAACAATGATGGAGCTCACGTCCTTGGCTTCGTTGTTGCAGCGAACCATTGCTCCTGTCTCCCCGCTGTAGGAGCCGCAGGACCCGAAGGCGAAAATAGCAAAGAGCTGAGAAAGAGTGAAGTCCCCTGAGAGTCAGAAGGCCTCACCTGGCCAAGGCAAAGAACCACCCTTGACTCCAGCAGGTGCAAATGCTGAGGAGGGAAGGAGTGGGGTTCCCTTTAATCGTGTTTCTCCTGGGAAGGGACCTACTACTGCCGCTCATCTTTCAGTTCAGGGCTTTGCATTCACTACACAGGGTACTGAACCAAACAGCCAAATGAATAAGGTAGACTTTGAGAAGTACCTCAGAGGGAGATGAAAGAGAGGAAATGGATGTTTTCCAGGTCTTCTCATTGGGCTTAATACAGAGGACTACAGATAGCCTGTTTAAGATGATGACTACCACAAACCTCTGTCACTCTGGATTTTGGAAACTTCTATCTCAAAGCCACACTTAATTTTTCTCCTGAAAAAAATAGAACCTCAGAAATAGATTCCCTTGCACCAACCCTAACATGCTTTTCATTTCTCTTTGAATCAGTCAGAGAATCTTGCCCTTGCCTTGTTGTGAAATTCTGGTTGTTTCCTGCCTCAGTGGAGGTACAGTATGGGCACAACTTCTACCAAGACTCCCCACGATCCTGTCAGCCTCACTCCTCTTCCCCGAAAGCACATTTCCTTCCAGCAGCGGTGCTGGCTGGTCCAATGCTGACAGTCCTGGCTCAAGCCCAGAGAAAAGTACCCTCCACTTGCCTTATCAGTCTCTACTATTTTCCTGCTGGTGTTTCCCTTTGTAATCTGTTGATGCTGCCACTTCTCAGTACTAAGAACCAGAGGTGTTTCTGACCACTTGAATTGTTTTCTTGTCCACCTTTCATCACATTTGACTCCACCTCCTTTTTGAGTGATGTGAAATTACCTTATCCTCAGGTTCTCAAATTTCTTTCTAGGAAACACATTTTGGTTAGAAGAGATGAGAAGTCAGAATCTCTTATTCTCCCATATCGTGTGCTCGGTCCCGGTTTCCTAGGGATCTACCTCTGGTTTGTACGCGATGTAATCGTTCTTATTACACACTGATCTTATTCTGTTAATTGTTCATTTTCTTCATGTTTCTCTGTGAGCCAGTGCCTTGAATATTAAGCATCTAGAAGACAGCTAATTTACATACCAATCGCATACCCAGTGTCTAGAATAGATTTGTATGTTATTTTGCTAATGCTTGTTGGTGTCATGGAGTGAAAAAAGATCTGGATTAGGAGCATGGAAATCTGAGTTCTAGTCCTGGACCTGTCATGAATTAGTAAGGCAACTCTGCTCTCTGAGCCTGTTTCCTCACCTGTAAAATGAAGGGTTTTGAGATAATCTCAAGGCCCTTTGCAGCTCTGGAATTCTCTCACCCTCTGAGGGTAACACTGTCAGTGTGCTCTTGGCTGAGTTTTCCAACAGCTGTGCTCTGCCCCTGGGTAGCATCCAGTGCCACTGCCCTGCCTTGCATGGTCTGGCCTGGCCTGGCAGAGCACCATGCTGGAGCCATTGACTTCTCTGTAAAGGTCATAATGTGCATTAGGTGTTTTCAGTAGGTTTCTTCCAGGCAAATGAAAATTGTCTTCATCTTTAAAGGTGCCCAGGGAAGAAGATGGTACAACCTCTCAGCAATGCCTGCATAACTTCCATATTAGCATTAACCTACATGATCTGTACCAGAACCCTGCTTGCTGTTCTCCTGACAGAGCTGAGAGAAGTCAGAGGAAGCCCCTGCATCATTGCTGGTCACAGACCCAAAGTTGCTCTCAGGCATAACAGTGGAATTTCTCTAGCTTTTCTTTCATCTTTGTTGGCTCTGTAGCTCTCTGATTCCTTGTAGATGTTTCTTTAGTCCTCTTGCTTTCTAGTGTCTCAAACTGGACATGTGCTGTCATATGTTAGGAAGGACAGCAGTTTGTTATGTTTTTACCCATCCCAGGTAGTTGGTGAATGGCTCCTTATAGGTATGTAAGTACTCCTAAGCTGGACTAATGAATGGTCAGTTATGGGGCCTCTTCTTCACTGGCTTTCTCTTGACAGGCATTACTAAACATTTACAGAAATATGACATTTCCTGGGCACCTACTATGTATCAGGCACTGTTGTAGGCATTACTACTTAATAATGAACAAAAGAGGAGGAAAAGTTGTCTTCATGTTTCTGTAGCTGCACTATCTAAAATGGTAATCACTAGTGTATGGGTATTTAATTAAAATAAAATAAAACTTAAAATTCAGTGGCCTAATCATACCAGCCACATTCAAGTGCTCAGTAGCCTCACATGCGGCAGGTCCTGTACTTACCAGCATAGATTATAGAACTTTTCCATCATCACTAAACATTCCGCTAAGTCTAAATGATGACCTTGAGGTTCAAAAATAATTCTGACTCTGTTCTAATGCCAAAGAGGGGAAAAAATACCCAAAATATAATAACTTTACTGTTGACTATTCTCATCTATTCTGATGCTTTGAAAGCCAGGACTCTCCAAACATCATCCATATGACTTTTTAACTTTCCAGAACATACGCTAGTCTACTTTATTTAATTTGTGGTGTGGGGATTGACTGTAGGACATTGTGCACCCTAGGCAAGTGTGCTTTACCACTAAGCTACACCCCAGGCTCCAAGCACATATACTTACATCTGAGTGCCACACTGTCAGATAACAGAGCTTGCCATACAAGTGGATAGTGAGAAAATCTGAGGAGACTCTCATTGATTCTTACAGCAGCAAAATAAAAAGGATCTCAGAGGTTATTTAGCCCATTGGCTTCATTTCATGGAGGTGGAAACTGAAACCCAGAAAGATTAAGTGACTTTCCCCAAATCACATTTAGCTAACGTGAGACAGTCTTCAAATTCACTTCTCCTAATTCCCCGTCCAGTGCTCCTTCTACTTCATGCAGCGTTTATTGAGCACGGCCAAGTGCTAGAGATATGAAGATGAGTAAGAACTGGCTCCTGCTCTGACGACTTCACATCAAGAGAGGTGTGTCATGTTAAAGCAAACCAGCAAAAGACAAAAGCAAAACCGTGCACCACAGTTGTTCAGGCTGATTGAGAGGCTTACAAGTAAGGAGGAAGTAGCTCAGTGCTCTGGGCTGCAGGGATAGAGAAAGATACCATGCCCAGTCCCTCCATTCTCCTAACCTCCCATCTTTCTACACCAGAGTTGCTTCCTTCCCTAACTATGCGGGGGACCAAGCTCCAGGGAGCAGAAGGTAAGATCTGAAACTACCCTGTCACAAGCATGAGCCCCTGAGATAAGCAAAGTGATCATAAAGAACAGCAGCTGTAGATGGAGGCCCTGAGACCAGGGGTTTCTGGAGTTCTGGTGTGAACCAATAATCCTCCTCTTGGATTGGTCCTGCTGGGGACGATGATGATTGTAGTACTCTGCCCCCTTCTTCCTCCTACCTCTGCCATCTCTTTTGCAAAGGTGTCAGGATAACTTTCCCAGTTTAAGGATGAGGCTCCATTGGTGCTGACTTACCTGCTGGTGAAAATCTTGTATCAGTCCAAAGAATACCAACACCATCAGTGCAGTGCACAGGAAGACAAGTTATTTTACCAGATCCTACTCCACAATCATTTTTTTGGTTTTATGGACTCTGCTAGTATCTTTTCAAATCCCTTAAACTCACAGAATTTAACTTTTTTTCATTACAGAGATCCTAGAGTTAAAAAAAAAAACAAAAACAAAAACAAAAAAAACTGTCTTTGGCACCCCCAATGGCAAAATAATCATCAAGAGGGTACACCCAGTTAAAATAATATGATTTATTTATAAGCAAGTAGGAGTAATAATTGAATCAGTTGGAGAGTTTTTTGTAACTTACCATCAAACAGAGAATTTGGCAGTGATATTTGAATAATCTCACTGAAGGGCAAGTCTAGCTGGACAGTCTGTGTAAGGAGAGACTTGGGGGAAGAGGAGATTTGGAAACAGGAGGGAAGGGAAGCAACACTTACACAATTAGAATCCTGCAGTTCCTGGCTTACCGTGTTTTTCCTGAATATGGTATACATTACAGATATTATCTCCTATAGTTCTCCGAGTGAGCTCATAAGACAGGTCTGACCCTCATTCACAAATAAGGAAACTGAGGCCCATAACAATGTCATCACTTACTAGGGCTAGAAATCAGAAGAGGAGACTGAATTTAAACCAAAGTCCATCTGATCTCAAAAAAAAAAAAAAAAAAAAAAAAAAAAAAGAAAACCCAAGGCAACAACAACAAAAACCTAGTTCTCCAATAATCAGTCTATATCCAGGTTATTTTGCTAGCTTGATAGAGACTTAGTGAGACTCCAGAATTGGAATTAAGGTGAAATCAGTTAATATCTAAATTTTAAAGGTACTTTAAACTATAATCTTGACCATAAAAGAATTACATCACTTTTTTCTTGTAAGGATTCCAGTAAAACTTTTGCTTTTTGGTAACAATGACAACAAAAGTTTTCATTTACCATTAAAATAACAGCAAGACTTGTGTTATCTTTTTTTCATCCTGTAGTCAGGAGCATTTTATCCCTCCAAGCAGAAAATGGATGAAAAACCCAAATGACATTTTTACTGTCATTTCTGGGATATGTTCCTGTGTGCTTTTATGTTAGCTTGTCTACAAAGATTCAAAGCAAATGAAGCTCATGCCCTGAATTTACACTACCACAGATGACATTAAAACCAAATCATGTCTCCTTATGATGCTACCTTGGGAATGAAGACTAGTTCTGAGACCAACCCTAGACCCTTAAATTCAGCAGTGTGAGAGAAAGAGGTCTCTCTATAACTCCATCTCTTTGAAGATCGTACAAGTCAAACAGGTCTTAATTCTTAGGGTATCAGTGCTTACCCCAGGAGAAGACTGGATCATTTCCCTACAAATTGCTTTGTGCAGCCTTTATAGAAAGGTTGAATATACTGGGGATAAAGAGCATAGCAGTATTGAAGAAGGAAACTTTTCAAAGTCCTCCCCAGGGAAGATGAGTCCATAGCCTAAAAACCTCATTGTTTTCCTCACCCCTTGACTGTCTGTCTCCAATTTCTCTTAGAGCCACTTATCTGGTTTTAATGGTAAAGTTGTATTCTTGCATTTCAGGTGCTGCTTTTCTGGAATTGCTCATAATAGCTCTGCTGCTTCTGGATGCAAGTCACTTAGAGCCTTAACATCATTCTTCTGTGGTAGCCTCTAGCATTTGAGCAGTGGGTCAGAAGAGGGAGGTGGCAAAAGGTGAAAGAGCTTAGTCAGCAGCTCTTGAGACAGCAGGGAAAGTGGAAAGTCCCCCCCAAGTGCCAGAATCTGCACTTCAGAGCTCCCTGTCGTCCTAATGAGTTCTCAGATATCCAGACAATCCTAAATGCACTATTGCTCCTGAATTCCAGATTTGATGATTCTCATCCAAACCATGCTCTAGGAGCTGGTGACACAGTGCCAGCTCCTGTCTCCAGTGAGTTCAAAGTTCTTTAGAACTCACTCCTCCTAAGTATTAATGTTAATTTATTCCCTCACTAAATTCCGTGCTGAATATTAATTATGTATACACTATTGGTGTGTGGATTGTCTAACTTAAAACGTCCTCGGCAGTAGTGCACTAACCCTCCCCCAACAAGTCTTTATGATTTGAAAAATGACTGCACCTGTCCACATTACTAATTTATACTTTTGGGCACTAGGAAGAACAGACAGCATACTAATATTTAGCATATCAGTAAAGCAACAAAATGGCATTTCCACTAGGCCAAAACTGGGAAAATGAAGACCTGGGCAAATGAGTTTTTCAAGGTCACAGGGTATGTCTAACAGCGTGCCACCTGATTTAGAGCACAAGGGATCCTAGGGACGGTCTGATCCATTTTTGACTAATGTTGGAAACTGAAGTCCCAAGAAGTGACTTGCCCAAGGTCACACAGCAGGGAAGGGAAGGTCCAAGTTTGGAACTCAGAAATGCCTGGATCAGGATTCTATCTTATTGTACACGCCACATCACATTTTGGCCATGCTGTGATTTTTTTGTTTGTGAAGTTTTTTCTTAAGTATTGGGCTGGTCGGCTCCATTCATTCATTCACAGACTCCCTCACTTCCTTACAGGAACACAGGTTACTACAGTGACCTGGGCAGGGAAGCAAACCCCCGCTGGGAGCCTGTCCGCTGCGTCTGCTCCCAGGATCACTCAGGCCCTGGTGGGTCTGAGGACAGGATGGTTTCCATAGTTAGCCTCTTTCCCCCCTTTGCCCTCTGCGGCTTCCCTAGTGGTGAAGAGCGGACCTAGTCCCCCTCATCCTCCTCCCCGCTCCTGCTGCGGAGGAGTGGTATGTGCAGGATCAGAGTTCTGGAAAGGTTACACCCGGGTCCTCTCGCCCGGGTGAAATGTGAGCGTACTGGGCAAAGGCTCCTTGCACATAGAAGGACCGAATCCGGGACTCCGCATGCCTGGCTCCTCATCCTCCTGCCACCGAGCGCTGGAGGAGCAGCCGCAGCCCTCCCCTCCCCCGCCCACCTGTCGCCGCCTCCCACCCTTCCGCAGCGGCCGGCCGCTGTACCTCCCCAGCCCCCACCCGGGCCACATTGCTTCTGGTCAGCGTCACAGGCCGGGCTCCCGAAATAGCCCCGGGCTGGGGCCGAGACTCACCCACTGGAGAACTTTGATGAAGCCCAGCGGCTCCTCCAGGCGCCGCCAGCGCAGCCCCACGAGCAGGCGGTCTACCTGCGGGGACAGAGCCAGCGGGGGTCAGGGTGGCAGAGCCCGGGTTGGAGCTGGTGCCCGTCCTGCTGCTCAGCCACATCGGGGGCCGGGATCGCAGTCAGGGTCAGGCGCCACGGCCAGGTGGCCGGGGGACGGTGAGCGAGCCCGCGGGCGCGCGGGGAGCGGTACCTGCTGGCGCGGCGACTTGTCCGCCGCGCGGCCGGAGCTCTCCGTCGAGGACATGGTGG